AGTTGGGTGCACACAGCTAGACCCTCTGAGCACAAATATGTTGGAAGGAACCCTGTGTGAATGCAGATGTTCGGGTTTCCTCTGGGGGTCTGAAGCCGGTGCCTTCCTGTCTCTGTCAGGGTGCAGCATTTCTGCACATGTGCCGAATGCATGCGCAGGCATGTCGGACATCTGGGTTCATGGGCAGCAGAGAACATGGGGACTGTGGTTAGGTTAATTATATTATATGTGTTTTCACTCAGAGACACGGGGATGGTGATATTCCAGCTTTCCTCATCTGTTGAGTACGTGCCTTGAGAGAAAGGGGAGATTCGAGCAAAGAAGGAAGAGGAAGGGGCTTGAAAGCAGTGGGTTGATATGGGGGCCACCCAAGGGAATCAATCTCTTGGACTTGTAGTCAGAGCTGGCCACCTCTAAGTTGGTCCCCAGTGATGACAGTGGGAACAAAGAAGTTTGCCTGTCTGGGAAAATGGGAACAGCTCTCTGGAATTTCAAAGCATATGGATCAGATTGGGAAAGGAGTCAAGGTGTTTTCCAGAAACAGTCTTCCATACTACCAGCCTGCTCCTGTCCCATTGAGGCCAAATCCTTGCACATCTGAGTATCAAGTGTAACTCTGGGCAGGGTCCAGATGGCACACTTGGCTGCATGATCAGAGCCCTAACCTTTCCTAACCTGCAAATCATGCAAAGCTTTGCACGTAAACAGAGAGCCCGCCATCTTGACTTCTTTTAACTTCAGTTTGGCCCTGAATTTTGTCTTTCCATCTTGCCTGGGAAGTCCACTTTTATCATCCTGGCGGTATTGCATTTTCTTCTCCTTTATTTGTTCCATCGTTGGGCGTTCTGGTTCGGTGTCTTGGTGAAGAGATCCGGCAGTGCTCTGATACCCTCGCCCGCTGGCTCCACGTGTACACGAGCAGAGATGTGTGACTTTGTACATTTTCTTGGTGCCGAGGGGGGAGAGGAAGGCAAGGTGGGGTCAGTGATCAAGTGGGGACTAGCGAGGAGGACTCTCTGATGCATAATTTATATCCCCTCTGGGCAAGGCTTTTAAGCGGTTTTTTAGCCAGAGGATATAAATGCGGAGCAGCTGTTCCAGGGGGTTGGAGTTGTCAGAAGGAGGGAGAGGAGGAAACCCTGGAACTTGGGCTTGTTAGGTAAGGCTTGAGTGCAAGTGAGGAAGAGGGTTTGTTACACAGCAGAAGTTCCACATCCTACACGCCTTTCCCGTTGAGTGTGCAAAGGGTCCCAGTTTTAATGATTTAAAAATCATCAAGCGAGAGGAATAGAAGCCATAACCTATATTTTTAATGTCTACATTTTAACCTCCTCCCTCCAGAGAACTTTGAGGGACATAGATAGATTTTTCTCCTGATTCTTTATCGGGACAACAACACTGTGAATTAAAACTGGGACCTTTGCACACTCAATGGGAAGGGCGTGTAGGATGTGGAACTTCCGTGGTCCTCATGCAGGGGCTCCCAGTTTTCAGTGGTCTGTGAACTTGGATGGGGGAAAAATGGCAACTTTCTTTTCACTAACATCTAACTGTTTGATGGATAAAGAACCCGTACATTACTATATGATATATTTGTTGTTTTTTAATATTTTGATAACTGTGTTTGAGCATCATTGGTTTCCTTTGTCATGCAATCCGTACCTGTGTATTTAATGTTATGCATTTAAATGCATTTTTATGAGAAGGGGGCTGTAGGTTTCTTCAGGATAAAAATTCCCTTCTCTAGTGGATCCTGCTCTGAGCAGAGGGTTAGACTGGTTGACCCCCAAGGTCCTTCTCAGCTCTAGGATCCTGTGATCAAAGAGCCTCATATCTAAGTGGGAATTTGAGCCTGAATCTTCAACATCCCAAGGCCGTTCTCTAACTGCCATGTGAGACCACCTCCTACAATAAATAGTTCTTTGAGTTTAACTGCCACATTTCAAATATTCCAAAATCATCTTGGCCTTTCTCAGAGAAGCAGGCAACAGCCCACTGAAATCAAGCCGTCTGATCCGCTCTGGGTTGTAAATGTGGGGTAGGAAAAAAGCATCACGTGATGCTTGCATTCTTGGTACCCTGAAACACAAAACAGCCAATCAGATGTTAGCTTAGCAGGTTATGGTCATCCAGCCCACGTGGCTAGTTTTATGGTTCAGTGTTTTGTGCAAACTGAAATTGGCAAAAATAGGGCAAATAGAATGAAGGATGATTTGGTTAACAAGGTAAGTGTATTGTACAAGCATGCCAGTGCATCAATGGGTTGGTTGAGACTGGAAATGGGTGCACATTCAGAGGTTGGCCTCCATGTTCCATCACTCTACCATGCTTCCTTGACTTGGTACATCTCCAGATGATTGGACTTCAACTCCTAGAATTCCCCAGCCAGTGTGGGTCCCTTGTTTGGCTAGAATTGGGTTGCCAAAGGTAGACTGTCTCTGTCCAGCAAGGTTCTGTCAGAACAGCTCAGTGGAACCTGGATGGGCAGAGACCTTTGACTATGCAATCCTGGCCAAACACAGGATGAACATCGCTTTCCTATTCTGCTCAGCCCTGTGCTCCGGCCAAATGAATCCTGAAAAGCAATACTCTTGACTTACCCGTTTCTCTCTCTGGATCTGCATTACGCGGCCAACTCTGAGCCTCAGTGGGGCAAAGTGAATAAAGGGAAGACAAATCTAGTTTGTTATTGAACAGGATGTTGATTTAGTGTCCTCCTGTGAGTGGTGCAGTTCTTTGACTAGCCTCTAGAGGGCTCTGTCTCTTCTATACATGACCAACTTGGTTCAAAACTTCCCATTCACACAGCTTTCCCCAAACGGGCACCCCCCATTCCAGATGTACTAGATCATCTCTACCATGCATGGCCAGCACAGCTGGAGGGCCTCATCCTGTTCTAAGAGAACCCCGCTTCCTGAGCTGACTAGATCCCAACTTTGCTGTCCCCTTGGCTCTGGGCTTCCACTTAAAGTCCTCCCTCTCTTCTCCCTCCCCGGCCCCTTGCAGGAGATTGCCTGGATAACAGCGTGGCCTCCCCCAGCACTGGAGAAGATGACGACCTTGACCGGGACAAGAAAAGAAACAAGAAACGTGGCATTTTCCCCAAAGTGGCCACCAACATTATGCGTGCCTGGCTTTTCCAACACTTGTCGGTGAGATCTTGAAACGCGGTTGGGAGAGAAGTCCAGCCGGTGGGGTGGAACCAAGGAGACCCTTGGCGGGCAACTGGCTAGCAAGAGGCATCCTTCCATGCCCACCACCCAAGCGCTCCACGCTGTCTGCCAGGCAATTAGATAGTGCCTCTCCCTGGTTAGTTAAACAAAGGCAAGTTAATGAGCGCTGGCCAATTAGTGGCTAATTGAAGAAGCTATAAAGCTATTAGAGGCTGCTGAAGGGTAATCAATTCTAGCCAATTACCCTGAACGCATTGGCAGGGAGGGAAGGGGGAGGCTTCTGAACGAGGCACCTACGGTTAAGGGAGGGGAGACCGATCAGGCCTGACACTGCCCTACTGTGAGACACTGAGGTTACTTAATTTTTTTTTTATTGGGACGATGTGCTTCTCCCCCTACCCAAGTGACTTCCACAGAGCTCAGAGAGGCAACACTGCTCCCCTCTTTCCCCACGATGCGTTGTCCTCGCAACAATCTTGGGAGGGAGACTTTAGCTGAAAAATTGGGACTGCCCCCACCTTGGCCAGGTAACAGGTTGAGGAGAGAAAGGTGGAATAGCTTCCTTTGACCTTTGATTCAAGTCTGGGCACGTGGGTTTGGGTTTGAGAAATATGTTGTGCACGGTTGGAATGATCCCCTTGGATCATCCCTCTCAAGGCCTAGACCGGTGTTTCTCAACCTTGACCGCTTGAAGATGTGTGGACTTCAACTCCCAGAATTCCCCAGCCAGCCATGTCCACACATCTTCAAGCAGCCAAGGTTGAGAAACATGGGTCTAACACCTCCAGGAAGGCTAAACCAAGAAAATAAATAATGAAATTCAATCCATGTAAAGCAGTGTTCCTCAACCTTGGCCACTTGAAGATAGGTGGACTTTAACTTCCAGAATTCCTCAGCCAGCCAGCCATCTACACATCTTCAAGTGGCCAAGGTCGAGAAACATTAGCCTAGATAGTAGAGAGTGGATGGCAGGAGCAGTTGGATCCTCCTCCCATTTATTTATGTTTGAATCTGTCCTTTCATCCATGGTGGGAATTAAGGATGGTGGCCTTGAGTCTTAAATTGTCTCCCATCCAGGCACTAAGCCGGCATTGCCCCAGCTTAGCTTCTCCAAATTGGCTTTACCCAGATCCTTCAGGCTGACATCTCTCATTTGGCCATAAGCTCCTGCAACCTCCCTAGGCTGAGATTCAGACCAAGACTATCCTTCATGTCATGGGATCTGTGTCTTGATTATATTGGAAAAAGGTGGAATGATAGGAACTCCAACCAGCCAGCCAGCCAGCCAGCCAGCCAGCCAGCCAGCCAGCCAGCTAGCATCTGAAGGGAGCGTGAGAAACTCTGAACTCCTAAATTAACCAGCTTGCTTTTGGGGGACAATCCATGATGGCTAAAATGGATCAGAATAACTGAAGTTAAGTTTGCAGAGCAGGAGGTTTAATCAAGAGTCCAGATGTTTGCAGCAGACAAAAATGGACCGCAGTTCATTGAGACATTTGTCCCATTCCTGGTCAATGGGGTGATCAAACCCCATTTCCAAAAGGAGCCCCAGCTGGATTGGAAACTCAAAGCAGGTGGTGGCCATGGTGTAAAACCTGAGGGAGGCATGATCAGGACTTGGAATTTGTCCCCTGGCTGGTGCCCCACTCCTGGTGACCTCTGAGGCCGAGCAGGACCTTTGCTCATCCGTCACCCGGCTGTCAGATTGGGGGCCCTACGGAGGTCTGGCTGTGACCTCCGAGCCAAGACTGGCTCATCCATCATCTGGACCGGCAACTAAAATGCCAGGAAGGGGAGGGAAGGAAAAGAAGCCAGGTTGGTTTCCATCTCCAGCCGAGAAGGAAGCACTAGACGCCTTTAGTACTTTGGAGCATCTGTTTGGGATCCCTCAAAAAAGGAATCTTCTTTTGGGGGCTGCAGATGGAAAAGAGACAAGCATCAGGAAAAGTGAGAGCAAGATGGGGAGAGGGAATGTGAGAAGCCAATAAAGTCTGTAATTACCATTGATGTCATTGACAAAATTCAGTGATACGTTTGCTGGGCTGCACCTTCTGAGAGAGGGGAGGGAATGGGTGTCCCAACCCTTGCGATCGAAGCATGTAAAAAAGGATGGGGCTGCAATCCCATGGGTGGGACAGCCATCTTGACTCTTTTGACCCCCTCCCTGCAGACAGCCCTGGGAGGGAAGAATATTTGAATGCCCCTCCCCACACCAAGGAAACCGTTTCTTTGAATAATAAGCGACTATATCCATGTTTTATCATTTTTGTTGATATTTAAATACTTAGCTGATCCACAACTCCTTACAGAGCAGTGGTTCTTAAACTAGGGGTCATGGAGGGCATATTCTGGGGGTAATGGAGCAACCTGTAATTGTTTGTGAGTTGAGGATCCAATGTGGGAGAGCCCCTGCCGAGTGCCCTGTGTAAAATAACAAATTCTGGGTTTTTGGTGGGGTTAGGACAGTATTCAAGACCGGGAAAGGGATAATTGGGCCAAACAGTTTAAGAACTACTGTTTTAGAGGGATGCACAAGGTGATTTTTTCTGAGCTGGACTCCAGAAATTCAGCTCCTAGCTGAGTGGTCTTCATGGCCTGGGTCAAGAAGAAGACTGAATGCTAAGTTTTGCTGGTCAGACGAACTGGCCCAGGGCTGGAGAGTCACCACTAGAGGGCAGGAAAGAGGCGTTTCAGATTTCTGTATCTCTCGGCTGCCCTCTAGTGGTCCTGTTGAAGTTTGCATCTCAGATCTGGTAGCCCAGCCCTGGTGAGAGGGGAGGGGGCGGAGGAAGAGTGGCACGTGCACCAAATGGTTTGGGAGATGTGCAGATTAATCTTGGGCTACAAGAGTCACAGCCTTCTTGAGAGATGGCAAAGGGCAAGGTGGTCCATAGCACATTTCAGGCTATGTGCACAAGAAGAATATTCTGGTTTCCACTGCCTCCCTCCTCCCTGCCCCCCCAATTGCCTTTCCACATTATTGGCAGAAAAAACCAAAAAAGGAATGGAAGCTATTTACGTTGAATTTCTGCCAGTTGGGAAGCCAGAAACCTGTTGGGAGAGGCAGGCAAGGTAGTGCAGGATCACTGGGCCAAGGATCGCAGGGCAGGGCAGGAGTAGAGCAGAACCAAACCTGTATTTTGATTTGATTCAAATGTCACCGGATTCAATACCGTTCAGATTGAGACTGCCCATATTGAATGGTTTTTCTCTCCCTTTTCCTTGAACTAAACATTAAACGTTGATGGCAATTCTTGGAGATGTTTGATGAGGTGATCGCCGTGTTCAAGATTTGAAAAACAGGGGGCACAATTTTATGTATTTATTAATCACATTTCTACCCCGCTGCAATCCAAAGACTCTGGGCGGCTTAGATTCAGATCGAGAGGGTGGGCTTTCCAACTGCTGTGATATCCTTCCTTTTCTTTTTCTTTTTCTTCTTTCTTTTTTGCACAAGGAGTGGAAGAGCTGGGGGGCGGTTGTTCTCTTACCAGGGCACCCTCTCTGCAGGGCTCTTGTGTCTTCCCCACTGTGCATTGCTTTGGATCTGAGGGTGAAAGGGCACTTTGGAGCGCATGGGGTCAGCGTGCATGAAGCACTGGACTGCGGCTCCTGAAACCAATCACAGCCTTGCTGTCTCAGGAAATGATGTGGCTGCTTTAAAGAGTGACAGAGAGCTGTATTGTTTTGCCTTCCCCAAATAGCAAACGGAGTTGGGTCACAGTTTTGGAGACCACCCCCCCTTCTCTCTTTTCTCTGTGCAGCACCCTTATCCCTCAGAAGAACAGAAGAAACAGTTAGCCCAGGATACGGGACTGACTATCTTGCAGGTCAATAACTGGTAAGAGTTAGAAACCGATAAGAGAAGAAACAGAAAGAGTTTCTTCTGCTGAAGGTCCTTCTTATCTGCCCTCCCCAGTCATGTAGTTCCCCCGTCATGGGGAGACACCCATTGTTGTGAATCTTGGGGATACAAGACCTGCTAAAAGCTTTTCAGGAACTCGGAGGTTCTGCTGCTATACTTCGTGAAAAAATTTCCCGGTATTGGAAACATGTCCCAGAACTAGGAGATCCTTGGGTCCGGCAGATCCATGGCTATTCCCCGACACATCTTCCTTTCTGTTCTCGGGTTGCAAAGTTGGAGTGAAAGAGTTTTGGAAGTTCCTGGAATACTGCCAGGAGAATTCTGCTGTCTGATTTTCTCAAGTCAGAGTTTTCCTTCTCTACTGGGAAGTGTTTCAGTAAAATAAATAATAAATCCAGGAAACCAATAGGAAGGATGTACGTAGTGTTTTCGGTTCCCTCTTTCTGGATAATAGTAGACCTTGGGCTTGCCCAGTGACATCAATCCCATTATTACCTAATTTAAAAAATGTCAGAATGGCCCCAGCTAGTTTGCAGCCTGATTCCCCTGATAGGTGTCCTAAAGAAACTACCTTCTCCCCCAGGCTACGTAACATCGTGCAAGATGGATCAATGGCTCCTCTATCAAAAACGGCTGCCCGTAGGTTTCCAGATACAAATCAAGGTGCTGTGGTTCACCTTAAAAGCCCAACAGGGACTTTTGGAGTTGCTTTCTCCAAAGCAAAACTGCCCGTCCTGACCGTTCAGCCCAGGAACAGATGCTGTAGCACCCTTGCCTCGTAGGCGGGTGGGCTGGACCTTCAGCGGTCCTTCTCAGTGGCAGCCTCTTGTTCTCTAGGAGAAGCTCCAAGATCTGGATAGCCCCCACCCTTGTCATCTTCAGGGAAGACATGACTCTCTTGGTAAAGTTTGGAGCCTGAAGGCCCCCTGTCCTAATGAGCCCTTGAAGTCCACACGCATTTTATTTCAGTTTTGTTTTGTTGAATGGTTTGATTTTCATTAGGTTGTGTTGGGCTATTTATGATCACTGTGCATGCCTGGAGTGTGATACGTTGTAGGGATATAAGCGCTGGAAATAAATAGACCCATCTTGGTGGGATTTGGGGTACTGCAATGGGATAAGAATAACCACATTGGCATTTCTGGAGATGATGTAAGCATGCTCCAAGTCATCCCAGAGTGTGTCGTCATTCCTTTCATTGTATCTCCTGCAGGTTTATTAATGCCCGAAGGCGCATAGTTCAACCTATGATTGACCAATCAAACCGCACAGGTAGGACTTCCATTCTCCGAAGAGTCTGCGGAAAGGGGCCACCCTATGTATTGCTTCACTAGGGTGCTCCTTTCCCACTGCACACTGTCCAGGCACTTTGGGAAGCCCAAAGGGTGCCAACCAAGGTCCGATGCCCACTCTTTTTGGCTGTAACACATTGGATGGACCGCATGCCCCACCCAACCAAGACTGCTTTCTGTTTTAAACACCTGCACAAATTGGACTTCATGAAAGTAGGGACTATATCTGTCTGTTCTCTTCTTCTGCAATATTTCTCTCTTCTAAGCAGGACAAGGTACACCGTATAGTCCTGACGGGCAGCAAATGGGAGGTTACGTTATGGATGGGCAGCAACGCATGACGATTCACCCCCCAGGTGAGCCAGAATTGCACTGCTATCCGTCGAAGATAGGAGGTTATTATAGGTAGCCCAATCTGTTTTCTTTTCCGGAAAGATTGTCTTTGGTTTGGGGCTTCTTGAAAAGAGGAGGCAGTGGGGCCCCACCCAAAGTATAATTCAATAGGTGAAACGATTAGCTGGATCAATATTTTTCATTCAGGGCAGCAAAACTAATCACTTATAATAGAAAGCCAAGAGTTATTTCCGTATTTCCGGTTTCCCTATGTGCTTCCGATTATTGGACTATTGACTTCAGTGGAGGAAAAACAATGAAGGGGGAAAAACTGATGCAGTAAGAAGATTGTGTGTATGTGGGTGGGGGAGAGATCTGCTCCAATGAAAGTAAAATTTCTCTCAGGTGTTTAGGGGTTTTAAGATTGTCAATGGGCAGAGGGTCCAAACCATTAAGATGGTAACCACAACTGCGCACTTAAGTCCCATCCCATTTGATGTGTGTGGCACATGACACGGCCATCATCTCAACTTTTTCTGCCACTCTCTGGACACCCACGTGGGGATCCGTTCTTGACCAAATAGTATTTTCCATGAAATGTGAACTTCGGAGTGCCCACATGGTGAGCTGAGACCTGAATTCAGATCACCTCTGAAGTTCAACCAAGTCAGTGGGGGTCAAACGTATTGTTCTGGCTACCCTCCTAGGATCACTGTTAGGTTTAAAGAGCGTGTTACTTAAGCCATTGAGATGGAAGAATGGGAAGCTTGCTTGATCTGGCCGTAGGAAGCTGGCTTGATGTCTGTGGGGAGGACAAGGGGGTCATGGTTCCCAGGACGTAGGAAGGTTTTTAACTTCTGTTTTCTCCTCTACTTCCAGGACCAATGGGAATGGCTATGGGCATGGAGGGCCAGTGGCACTATATGTGAAGGCCTGAGCTCTCTGCTGATGTCAGAGGGGAAGTGAGTGTCATGTGAGCAACGAGTTTGTTTGGGTCTTTTCTCAAGAAACAGCAGGAGAAGGAGCCAGGCTCCTCATGAGATTGAGTGTGAGATGATTGAGAAATTACCTCCTGGTGAGGCAGAGTGGCCCATGAGGACTAGCCACCTGAGGCAGAGGGAGAGATCCATGCAAGTCTTGCCATAGCTTCTGGCATCCTCTTTTTCAAGCATTTCTTCTCTCATGGTGCCAGGGTTGCCCTTCACCATCCAAAGTGGCAGATTCCCCTGGCCAACTTACGATGGCTGGATTCACTCAACCCATTTAGTCAAGTCAGCTACAAATGTAGGGGCTGCAGGCACTAAGCTTGAGAGCTAACTCGGTTAGACGTTCTATGGCCGTGTTGTGGAAATTCGGGCCATTTGGCTAGCGGATAATTTGGTGTATTGTCAAATCCGGAAAACAATTTGAGTCAGAAACCAGCTTATGCGCCCTGTACAAACACAGCCGAAGGCTGATTCTGGGAATCCCACTCAGAGTGAGGCTGCCTAGCTGAATGTTTAGGGGATCTGGCTCCAGAGAACCACATACCTTCAGCACAGTGAAGCCACTGCTTGGACTGTGGGTAGAGATAATAGTAAGCTTCAATTTACTACTTATTCCCCTCTGCCAACTAAAGAAGTTTTGTTTCATAGGGCAGTTGGCCCTCCAGCCTGCCACTTAGAGCCTCCCACAATACCCTGGAGCAGTGTTTCTCAACCTTGGCAACTTTAAGATGAGTGGACTTTAACCCCCAGAATTCCCCAGCCAGCAAGGCTGGCTGGGGAATTCTGGGGGG